ATCCCCAGCCACTTCCCTCCTTCTTTTTCTGGTGCATCTATCTTGTCATGCTGCGAAATAAGATGCATCATACCATTTGGCGATTACCCAAGCAGTAAGCCACGACGAAAAGAGAAGGCAAGCCACCCGAGTCCGACTTCCTCGGGACATGAGGAAGGAGAAGGAGGAGAGGTCGAAACATCACAGCATGCATGGTACATGGTAGGTGCCTATCGTGGATGCGCCTTCCTTCCCCTGCATCCACCTCCACGTCGTGCTGTGACCCAGAGAGATCTCCCACTTTTGCGGGGACTTGCACCTGCCCCAGGCCGACCTGAACTTGCCGTAAAAGTCAAACTTGCCATTCATGGCAAGTGCAGCAGCAGCCCCTGCCTGCCTGTTTGCCGTGTGTTGCGCCTGCTCCTGCTTGTGTTTGCGGCTGTTTCTTTCTTCTTTCGCGTGGCAGTCACAGTCTAAGGTCGGTACCTACAAGAAGCGGAAGGAAAGGGACTTGTGTGTGTCCTTCCCCATCAAACAATGGGAAACACGCAATGGGGTGCTCCTGCCATCAAATTTCCAAATTTCCCAGAGCAGGCAGCAGCATTCTGCCCTCCTTCCTTCCCTCCAGAGTGGCAGACGACAACAGTAGCGCCGCCGTTCCTCCGCCGTGTCTGCATCCTTTCCGCGCCTCTCTCGTCTTAGTCCCGCTCCGTCCTCACCTCCATCCTTCGACGCTATTCCCGACTTACGAGTAGTCCTCTCGGTCTCGTCCCGTCTTCGCCTCAACTCGCTTACAGACATGCACTACTTGCACATGGACACCAGCAGCAGCAACGGGCATCAACTGCCATTGGATGTCGTCTCATCCCTGCCCACCCACTGACTTGCACCTTGCCCAACCCAGCCATGGTCCAATGACAATCCCAATGAGCCGTCCGATCCTCCAAAAGGGACTTTGGAGCTTGCACCAGGGAACCGCAGACTGATCCCTCCCTCAGTCGCACTAATGCGCAGTAACGCAGCCAGGTACCGGTCGCACCAAGGACCGACCCTGCCACCGATCCAGAGGCCCAACCATGAGCTTATTTTCTTGGCTTGTCCCCTAGGTACCTCCTTAGGTGCTCAATCATGGATCACGCCTCTCCTCGTACTTAACCTACCCGTCGCCCGACTGTCTCTCTCGTTGAAACGTCTCAGTCTGTCACCACGCCTCAAAACATCTGGCGACTGGACACGACCTTGCCATCGAACGCCGGACCTTCAATTCATCACCGATTACATCCTCCATCCATCATGCATTCAAACACTTATCTCCCGGCAGCCCTTCTCTTGGCTTCCAGTGCTGGTAAGCCCACCACCTTCTCCGATTTCTCCAACGGCTGCTAACGAGCCTCAGTCTACGCCGCCCCCGCGCATCAGCCCCCGGCCCTCCACGGAAGAGCAGACTTCAACATCCTCGTCGGCGGCAATGTCTCCCTCCGTATCATGCCCCTCGGCGCCTCAATCACCCACGGCGTCCAGTCCTCAGATGGCAACGGCTACCGTCAAGACCTGCGCAACGCACTCATCGCAGACGGCAACCCCGTCGACATGGTTGGCAACAACCCCAACGGCACCATGGAAGACAACCAGAACGAGGGCTGGCCTGGCCTCCGCATCGAGCAGGTCCTCGCCAAGGCCAAGATTTCAGTCCCCGAGACCCTGCCAAACCTCGTCCTGATCAACGCCGGCACAAACGACTGCGTTCAAAGCTACGACACCGACAACGCCGGCGCTCGCACCCTCGAAATGATGGAGTACCTCTGGTCCACATCCAGCCGTGCCTCCATCGTACTCTCCACCCTCCTGCCCAATGGCAACAACAACACCGAGGCCTGTGTCTTGAAGGTCAACGAGCAATTCAAGAAGCTTGTCGAGGAGCAGCAGGCCAAGTCCAGAAAGGTCGTCATCGTCGACATGCACTCTGACCAAGGCCCTCTGAAGAGCGACCTGGTCGACGGCACCCACCCTGACGACGCTGGCTACCAAAAGATGGCCAATCTTTGGTTCGCCGGTATCAAGGACGCCGCCTCTCGCGGCTGGCTCGAATCCCCAGAGGCTCTTCCCGGCAGCACGACGTCCAGCTGACTAGATCAGATTGCGGCGCAGATGTACAAAGCCTTCCGCTCTGCGTTTGCTGGCGTTGAAAATGAGACACGATAATTCGCGCCGATGAAAAGGCATCGAAACGCGCATTCACATTACTGTAATTTACTGCATCACATATGGCGTTATCTAAAAGGGATGGGAGGGCCTCAGCAGGCTTGCGTAGTTGAGTTTAAATCACCATAGTAATTGTTCAAGTTCACGCTAGACGGTCGCTCATTCGTCAATTCGTGAAAGTTTACATCGGCTTCGAGTCTTACCGACGGACCCTCACCATTTGCCCGAGGGAGCGTGCGGATAGACAACTTCAGATGAAATGCCAACCACTTACCAGCCCGCCCGGCCGTTCCGTCGTCCCCATGCAACTTCCCCCGTCTTCCTTCCTCACAGGTTACGTTTGGTGATCCTTCAGTTCTATTGAACCCGCACTCATCCATCTCATTACACACCTCACTCCACTCAACTCACTTCACTCAACTCACTCCACATCTCATTCCGCATCTCACTCACTCACCATGTCTCGCACAGTATTCACAGCCATCTTCCTCGCCAACTTCTACCTCGCCAAGGTCGCCATCAACGACCTCGGCAACGCCAACGGCCTCAATGACGTCGTCGCGAAGAACCTCGAGGCCGAGCCCATCACCTTTACCACCGTAAGACAGCTCGACAGCCTGCTCACCATGCTGGTGCGCTTCTTCCAGCCCATCGTCCAGGGCACCGACCTGCCCCTGACGCTCTTCTCCATCTTCATGGCCGGGCAGCTTCTGGCGGTGCACATGCTCATCATCGTCGAGGGCATGCGGGCTGGGAATCGCGGCAAGATTGTTTCTTAGTGAGTCTTGAGTCCACATTTATATGTAATAGGAAGCACGTCAACTGACGGGCTGCAACAGCACCACGGCCTGGGGCATGCTCTGGCAACTCATAACCTTCGGCGTCACCCTCCCCCTCTACATCCTCGCCTGGCTCTGGACCTCCGAGATCCCCTCCGCCACCAGTACCTTCTCCTTCGCCGACGTCATCTCCATCCCCCCCGCCGACGGCGAGACCGTCACAACCGCGTGGTCCCTCGGCGTCCTCCTCCCCAGCATCCTCGCCGGCCTGCCCCGCACCCAGTTCTTCTCCCCCTACTTCCAAGAAGCCGCCCTCGCAATATGGCAGGCCTTCCCCCTCTGGACCGGCATCCTCCAAGCCATCCTGCCCAAACTGGCCACCGCCCCGGAAGCCCGCCTCGAGACCGCAGAAACCAAGATCGCGCGCTTCGGGAGGATATACACCTTCACCCTCGCCCTCGCGACGGCATGTCACTACGGCGTCGTGGGCTACGTTGTGCTAAAATCCGAGTCCGCGGCGGGCGTGCCGCCGCTGGAGATGCTGGGGCAGATTCTGCGCCCGACGTGGCCGTGGAGCACCGCGCCCATGGCGAGTCTGGAGAAGGGGATTTTGGCGCTGTTGCAGTGGGATATGTACTGCGCGTCGCTGGCAACGTGGAGCTGGCTTGCGTATATGGCGTATGCAAGGGCCGGGGTGGGACAGGTTGTGATGGATCTGGGGAAGGCGGTGATGTGGAGCTGTGTGGTTGGACCTGGGGGCGCGGCGTTGGCTGTTGTTTGGGGGAGGGATGTGGCGGCTTTGAGGGCTGCTGGTGGGAAGAAGAAGAGCGGTTGATGGTTGAGAGATGATGGCGTCTTTGATATTTACATTGCGATGTGTCTGGTAAGCCGACTAAGATAGGGGTAATTGTGGAGTTTGAAGTTGCGGCGTAGAGCCTCCCCTCCGGCCTTTCTTCTCCAAACACTCAGCCAGTCCGCGGATGCCATTCTGAAAGCACGATTCGGGTTCTGTGATCTATGTCCTCTACTAGTAAAGGCGTAGGCAGGTCTTCGCACAAAGTCGAATGCGCACCCTAGCGAACGGGGTTGTCGGGAGACGCGTAGTTAGAAGGTGTTTTGCGCTAAATAGTCAGAATTACTGTACATATCCAGAGTCTTTAGGGACAACCTTTTGATAAAAAACAACGACGCTTCATTTCTGGTGGTCGTTTCAAGCCCTGCCCGGCTGTCGTTGTGGTCATCGTTGCTTTTTCTCCAACTCCTCTAAATTCAGTGACTCCTGATACATTCGCTCTGCGGCCTCTGCCTCTTCGAACTTTCCTTGTTTGTTTAGTATAGATACCAATGTTCTTAGGGAAGCTAGTGTCTCAGGATCCTTCAACCCTAGGACCTTCTCCCTCACCTCCAATACCTGGCGCTTCAGACTCTCTGCCTCCTCGTACTTCTCTTGCTTCTCAAGCAGAAATGCTAAAATTTCCATATGTTGACTCCCTACATAATTCTCTACCCCGTTGGACTTCATCTTTGACTCAAGTATTAGTTGTCGGAATAATCGCTCTGCCTCCATGTCTTTTTCTTTCAGCCCCAATGCCAATCTTTGATATGCCAACAGGGCTGGCCCTATTAAAACATTACCAGTTGACTGAAGTGCTTGTGAAAATATGTTCTCTGCCTCCTGGTACCTATTTTGGTCTCTGAGAACATTTCCTACGTGAAATAGTGCACGTAGAGTATCAAGCTTCTCTGGTCCCTCTAACTTCATCCGTAAATCTAGCAATTGACGGAAAAGCGGCTCTGCTTCTCTGTAACGACCTTGATTTTGGAGTACGCCCGCCAAGTCGCTCAAGGCTTCGAGGGTATCAGAGTTCTCCAGTCCATATGCTTTCTCTCTTAACTGAAGTACTCTCCGAAATATGTGTTCTGCCTCTTGGTACTTCTCTTGATCGTGCTTAAAACCCTTTGGAGTACTACCCAGAGTAACTGCTAAGTTCCGCAGACTAACGAGTATTTCTGGGTCTTCGGGCGCAAGTGCCCTCTGTTTTAGCTCCAGTGCCTCTCGATGCATCTTCTCTGCCTCTGCAAAGTTGTTAAGGAATCGACTGCTTGCACATGCGGCATGTAGACAGCCCATTCTCTGTTGTATCTTTCCGGCTGAGGAAATTCCACTAAAAGCCGATTGATCGTCTCTGCCATCTGCTGCTCTTCTTTGCCCTGTTTCCTTACCCAGTTCTGCGATACCAAGCGCACTAAGCGATGAACGTCAAAGCTTTCTGTGGACCTTCGCTTTTGGATGAAGGCATATGCCAGAAGTGTGCCGACTGCTTCATGGGTCTGCCTGGCGCTATCTCCAGGGGGCAAGAGCGTAGTAGGAATGTCCTTTTCCGCAAGATAGCTGACGAAACCAAGGTATTTTGCTGCAAGGGGCTTGTCTCGAGCAATGAATTCAAACGAGATGAGCCATGTTGTGGCGACTGGGTTCTGGATAATCTCGTATCGGTCCTGATCGTCGAAATCTTCGCTGAGTAGCGCGATCTGCTCTTCGTCGCTTGTTTCGCAGTATTCCAAGTAATGAGATATTGATGTGGCCGGATTCGCGCGCAAATAAGCAGATGCCTGGCGGATGGCCAGCGGCAGGTGGGCGAGTCGCTCAAGTAGTTGCGTCGTGCTTTGGCCCTGGTCTATCTGGCTCTCGGCCAAGCCGCTGTGCAGGAGCTTCAGACCATCTCCTGGCTCCATGTTGTAAAGATTGAGAGGAAAAGTACGGTCATATCTCGCGGCAGTAACGCTGTGACGATTTGTGAGCAGAACCGAGCCTTTGCGACCCGTGGGGATGTATGATGCAAGCCCTGATTTAGTGAACATCAAGTCAATATCGTCGGCATTGTCGATGATAAGAAGCCAGCTATTGATATCGTCCCGGTTCAGGACATCTCTAACCAGGTCTTTGATATCTTCTTGAGCTTCCTGAATTCCCTTGATCTTGAGTGCTTGGCCAATCTTGCGGTAATGGTTGTCAAACATGGCAGCGCTCACAGCCGGTACCCAAAATACTGAGCAGTCCGAGTGAGCATTGCGCACGCGGTACGCAGCTTCGATGGCAACTTGTGTCTTACCAATTCCGCCGAGGCCAATAATGGCAGTTCTTTGGCAAGCATCTTTGTCTGCCCTCGGTGGAATTCTCTCAAGAAGCTTCGCTAGAAAGTCTTCTCTACCGACGAAGTGTTTGTTTCTTCCAAATGGGACAATGAAGTGGGGTTTATGAAGGGCCAATGTACGTTAGGGTCGTCTTGTCTAGCAACAACCTAAATGCTCCCTACTTACCATCCTCGGCTACATTTACACCACTTGACACTGTCGATGGGATAGTGCATAGTAACTCTTTGGCCAACGCTGCCGCAGTCGCTGCTGCATACGGCTGCCACTGCTTGTTCTTGTGCGCATCCGCATAGTCACAGATGCCACGGATGACAAGACAAGGAAAGTTATTCATCAGACCGGCTGCCTCCATCTCGAAACATAAAATCCCTCCCAAGTCTCGACTATGATTATCACGCGTCTGCCCATCCTTCATGACCTGGTTACCGGATGCGATGTTGCCAAAGAACAGGGCCGGGGCCGTTGTCCTGCGTTTTTCCCTAGTCACCATGGGACCACATTTGGCGCAAGAAGGCCCAGGAGTATGTGTCGATGTGGCTTTGAAAAGAGTATCTTTTTCCGGACCCGGTGATTCAAACTTTGGCTGTCTGGAGATCTTTGACAAATACGCATTAACGTTTGTCTTGCCTCGGAAGTAGTTGGCATGAAGTTTCGATAAGGCGTTGAGGAGGATTTGCGGCGGGGCGTTGAGGCTTCCGGTGCGAGCAATGTGGCCACCGGGACCGGTCTTCCCGAAGTCGTACTGGATCACTCCACCATGCTGGCCCATGGGTTGACTGATGACAACATCTCCGAGACGGATGTCGATATTGTGGTCGATGTTCGGAACGCCGCCACCGATGCCGACCAGCACGCCGAATCGCAGTGATGTGAAACTGCTTCTCATCTGGCTTGCCACAGTCGCAGCCGAGTTCGTGCCCATCTGACCCGCGGGAAGGCATGCCATCACCACATTGTGGTCTTTGATGCGACCGAAAGAATAGATGTTGGAATCGGTCGGCTGGGATGGCAGTTCAGCGAATTCTTCGTCCAGCATCTCCTCGGCGGCTGCCAGCTCGATCGGCAGAGCGCACACCCAGCCGATGGTGAAGTTGCTGGCGGGAATACGTCTTGGAGCCATGAAAAACTGAGTTTATATGGGTAAAAGGTGTCATATGTTGGTGGGATGTCGCGAGTTGTGAAGTTTGTTTCTCGAGAAATGACAGAGGGAGGTTCTTCGCTCAACCTGGTCCTGAGGGGTAAGAAATGATGCGGCAATTTGAAACCTACCACTTCCCAAGATGGGTGGTGTTGTGGAGCCATGGTAAACATGCCATTAACCAATGACCGCCGTTGGTCGTATATCTATTCAGGGGTTAAGAGTTGTGTTGGTGCCTGTTGGTCGAGTATCCTACTTTACCGCGCGGGAAAACACGGCTACACGAGATCCGTCACTGACGCCGTACCCAGTAGAAGCGGTCGCCTTTCGGTATTACGGGTCATAAAACACTTTAGTTGCCCCAGAAAGGGTATAGCGAAACGGACAGGGCACCATCGAATGTGACAGAATGTGGAAAGTTGTAAATCACGACGTCAACCGCCAAGCACGGCAAGCCCGCCAAAGACCAAGCAAACGCCCAGTAATCAACTTTCACAGTCTCGACATTCAACATGAAAAAAGCACCCTGCTTACAGCAAATCACAATTTTGAGATGGTGTAGGTTTATCATAAAACTTACGATCTTATGGCAAGGAACACAGGAACATGGGGTAAAATACTTGAGATTCTTTACACCTTGTTGGAAGTTCCGATGAGACTGATTAAAGCCAAGAATGATCTACTTGATCATTAAACTGTGTTTGGAGATATCTGCCTATCAAATAACAGCTACTAGCCTGATACCGTGTAGTACCTTATACGACATAGCCTCGCTTCAAGATGGATATCTCTAGGTCGAGCGCGGCTGCTGGCGAGTGGCGTCACCAAGACAACCTTCTAACTGGTCTTGTTCGTGTGAGAGCTTGTCACGATATCAGTCGCAACTACTGCTTGATAATGGTGGTTCAACTTTTACAGTTGCGACTGATATCGTGACAAATTCTCACGCGAACGTCAAATGTTGTCAAAAGCAGTGGATGTGGTGTTGCTATGGTTTTATTTCTTCAGAAATAATGATTTCCTCCAGTTTCTGGGTTAATGCGGGACCTCATCCATTATTCATGACCCCTTGAAAGTAGAAATTCCCTCGGAGCTCATATACTATAAGCCTAGAGTCGTTCACGACGCCCCTGTTCCATGCCCACCACCAGCGACCCTTTGATATTGTGTCGGCTGACCTTCTACCAGTGACCGTCTCACTATCATCCTCCTGCTATCGCTTTCTTAGAATGAAAGGCCTGTTTGATCCAAATTTCATCGCCCTTCAAAGTTTTTCGCTCGGACCAAAGCCTAGGAGAGCCGTATTGCCACTTTGGCACTCAGAATGCAACGTCCCCCCTCGATGATCGCTTATCGTTAGTAACAGCCTACCAACCAACGCTCTCACTTTGTAGAGCAAGCCCAGGCCATCGTCAGCCAATTAAGCGTTGTACTTGCCGCCGCCGATATATGGATCTATCACAATTACTTACTAGCAAGATCGACATTCTTATTTAGCCAACCCAAAAACCTCCTTATTTGCCTCATCTACAGCCTTCCGCACACCCTTGACATTCTCCATCACAGTCGGCATGTCCGAATGAATACAGATACTAAAATCCTTTCCCTTGAACCCGAAACTAAACTCGGTCCCCTCCGAGTCCGCCCCTGAATCTGTCACCATCGCCCTCTTCGCCCTCTCATAACACCTCTCCGGCGTCGCCGGCTGCGACTTCGCTACGGGCAACAGCGCCCCTTCCGGCGAGTAGTCGATATCAACATACACTTCCGCCTGGAACTCGACGCCGAGCTCCGCGCACATCTCCGCCTGCGCCGCATTCCATGCGCCGTACACGGGCACTTTAAAGGTAGCGCATGCCTCGAGCACGGCACGCATGATGGCCAGATCGCGCTGCATATAGAAGAAGAGCTCGCCATGCGGCTTGACATGCGCGAGCGGCACGCCCTGCGCGTCGAGCATCGCCTTGAGGGCGCCGACCTGGTAGAGCACCATACAATACATGTCCTTGGGGTCGATTTCCATCTTACGACGTCCGAAACCGAGGAGGTCGGCGAGACCTGGGTGTGCGCCGGCCTTGACGCCGTGCTGCTTGCAGAGAGCGATGGTCTTATGCATGATGGAGGGATCACCAGCGTGGAACCCGCAGGCGATGTTGGCGGCGTCGATGTAGGGCATCAGCTCCTCATCGGGGCCCTTTCATGGAGGTGAGTGAAGAGATTTTGTGAGCGAAAGAGGGCGATTTCTTACCATCTTCCAACGGCCGAAGCCTTCGCCCATGTCGGCATTGATCTCAAACTTTGAGGCTAAACCTGGCGCCATTTTGACTCTAAGAGAGAATGTAATTGATGATAGTGGTGTGCATAACGGGTGAAATTGTCTCTCCTAGTCTTTTGAAATCACCTTCCGCGGGAAACCGGGATCGTAGTCTACCGATGATCTCGGAAAGTTGTGGTGTTCTAGCTTCCAACGCTTCCATGCGTTGGGGTAGGTCAGCGCCGGACGGCTTTGGGGTAAGTATCTCCAATTAAGTCGTCCCACTTGGGGTAGATGATACCGCAGAGAGGGGCCATTCCGCTGCGCCGAGCCACTGACAGCGCACCCGGGTTCTACAGTCTGGGGTTCGGTGGCAGTGTCTATCGATTCCCATGGACATTCCTTTGCTATGATTCGTACGAAGTAGAGGTGGTGATCCGATGTTGACGACAGATGCGGGGTTCTTATCTTGATAACGAGTGAGGGGGTCTCTCTGTTGATAACAACGGTGTTGAGTGGGCAGCTGTTCGTCAGGAACACTTTCATCTGGACCGTTTTGTTACCCAAAGTGCTACCAGTTAATTCTAAGCTCCGAATATCCGGATCCCAAAGCCCAGGGAGCACCTAGATGCAGGGACAAGATAAGAGTATGGGGTAACAACCCCCATCCATCATCCCCCCTCATGTCACACACAGTACACCGGGGAGTAGTCTGATGATGTACATGCTTGAGAACCTGCTAGCACGATTGTTCCTACTTATCCGAACGTGGAGGGTTCCCTTGAAGTGTGGGGTATTGATTGTTGACCACCCCAACTACAAAACTTGTCTGAGACTCCCGGCATGTTGGGGATATGCATGTTGATCGCTGCCGGAATCTTTTTCCATTTCCCCTCGCTCAGATATCACTATGGCCAGCTCATTAAAAGCCATTAAGAAAGTGTTGGTCGCCAATCGTGGCGAGATCGCGGTTCGATGCATCAAAGCATGCAGAGAACTCGGTGTCAAAACGGTGGCTATTTACACTGATGCCGATGCATCATCCTTACACACCGTGTCGGCAGATGAAGCTGTGTTGTTACCGGGCAGTGATCGCACTGCATACACCGATGGGTATACACAACTTGGTTCCAACACCATATGACCACTTCTCTAATAATGAGACTGTAGAGATGCGATCATAGACATCGCCCAAACTCACACCGCAGACGCCATCATCCCAGGCTATGGCTTCCTCAGCGAAAACGCAGACTTCGCCGCGGCCGCTGACGCAGCAGGTATCACCTTCATCGGTCCTTCGATAACATCGATCAAGGCCATGGGTCTTAAGCACGAGGCCAGGGAAATCGCCCACCGGGCCGGCGTACCCACGGTCCCAGGCACGCCTCTCCTATCTTCAGCAGCCGAGGCCCGCGAGAGTGCGTCACGCCTCGGGTTCCCCATCATGCTCAAGGCCACCGGTGGCGGCGGCGGCATGGGCCTGCAGATCTGCCAGGATGAAGCGGAAGTAGAGAAGGCGTTCGAAACGGTCGTCAGCCGAGCGGGCACTTTGTTCAAGAACAGTGGCGTATTTCTTGAAAAGTATTACCCGCGATCTCGGCATATTGAGGTGCAGGTCGCTGGCAATAGCGAAGTGGTCGTGTCATTTGGCGAAAGGGAATGTTCCCTCCAACGGCGCCACCAAAAGGTCATCGAGGAGTGTCCGAGTCCGTTTGTCGATGCGACGCTGCGCAGGAAGCTCTGCCAGTCGGCCGTAGACTACGCGTCGCAGTTGAACTATAAGAGTGTCGGCACCGTGGAGTTTCTGGTGGATGATGAGACGGCAGAGTACTTCTTCCTGGAGATGAACACTAGACTGCAAGTCGAACACGGCATCACGGAGCTGTGTTACGGGGTTGATCTCGTGCATTTGATGCTTCGACAGGCGAACTGCGAGAAGGCAGGGCTTGGCGGCATCCCAACGGCGGAATTGAGGTCGCTTGGGCGAGAGCAGCCCCTGGGCAGCGCGATCGAGGTTCGTGTGTATGCGGAAGACGCGCTCAACGACTTTGCCCCGCGGCCTGGGCTTTTGCAGAGTGTGTGGTGGCCTGAAAGTGAGGGCGATGACGGGGTTCGTGTTGATACGTGGGTCAAGGGCGGTCAGCGCATCACGCCGTATTACGATCCGTTGATCGGGAAGATCATGGTCCACGACGGTCAGGGTAGAGAGCAGGCACGGCAGAAGATGATTCGCGCGTTGAAGGAAACAACTCTTCAGGGCACGCAGACGAACCTCCAATACCTCACCAAGGTCCTCCAGTCGGAGGCATTCATTCAGGGGAACACGCTGACCACCTTCTTGAACGACTTCGTCTTCGAAGCGTGCGCAATTCAAGTCCTGGAACCCGGCATGATGACAACCATCCAAGATTATCCTGGAAGAGTGTCTATCCGGCATGGCGTTCCGAGGAGCGGACCCATGGACTTCCTCAGCAGCCAGATCGCCAACGTATTGGTCGGGAATGAGCCAGGGACAGAGTTGTTGGAGGTCACTTTGACAGGCCCGGCGCTGCGCTTCTACGTTGGTGCTGTCGTGGCAGTATGTGGTGGTTCTGTTTCTGTGACGGTGGACGATGAGGAGCAGCCCATGTGGTCTAGATTCGTCATTCGTCGTGGCCAGGTCCTAAAGCTCGGCCAACTGGGGGGGAGCGGTTTCAGAGCATACATCGCCATCAAAGGAGGGTTTCCCGGGATTCCTTCATTTCTCGGGTCGAAGTCTACGGCGCCAGAACTTGGCTACGGCGGGCTGGAAGGCCGCAAACTGCAGATGCATGACGTGTTGGATCTGGCGGAGCAGTCGACTCAGTGGGCCGCCGAGGCAACATCATTTTCACTTCCAAGCGAAGCTGTCCCCAACCTCGATATTAAGCAGGTGTGGTGTATGGAAGGACCGTACGGCAACAACGACATCCTCACACCTGGTGGGCGAGCTGCATTGTATGAGGCTGTCTGGAAAGTGAATCACAATAGCGGTCGCAGTGGTGTTCGACTAGCAGGACCGCAACTTGAATGGGCACGCGCATCCGGAGGCGGAGGAGGATCTCATCCATCCAACATCTTTGACTATGGATATCCTGTTGGTGGAGTCAATTGGACCGGCGACTTTCCAGTCATCTTCTCAGTCGACAGCCCTGACGCTGGAGGGTTTGCCTGCCCGTTGACCGTCTGCTCGGCGGACTTTTGGAAGCTAGGACAGCTGAAGCCTGGGGACGAGATCCGGTTCAGACCGACCACTTTCGAGTCTGCCATTGTCATGTTGAAGAAGCAAGATGAGTATGTTGCTGCTGTGGCTACGTGTGCACAAACGGGTCAAGTCACAGCATCAATCCCGGCTTTGTATCCTGAAGAGGACAGCCAAGCTTCTTCAGGATCGTCAACACTGAGGGAAATTCCTGAGACTGACTCTGATCCTAAGACGATATACAGACAAGGAGGCGACTCTTCTATTATCGTGGAGTTCGGGACTCAGGTCGCTGACTTGCGCAATACCATTTGTGTCAGACTCTTGGCCGAGCAACTTGAAGACCGTCAGTTGGATGGCGTTAGTTGGACTCCGAGCATTGCAACTCTAACCGTTCATTTCAACCCCAAGAAGATATCACAAACCGAACTGCTAAGTATTCTGTCAGAGCTGCCGTGCGGCTTCGGCCAGTCGAGCAACCAGATGCCAGTGCGAGAAGTACAACTGCCTATTTGCCTCGACCACTCAGCCATTGCGGAGGCTGTTCAGCGTTACATGGACAACATCAGAAAAGACGCGTCTTACCTGCCAGATAACGTGGAGTACATTCGGGAAAATAACGCGCTTTCTGCTCGGCAAGCCGTTTTCGACGCATTTCTAGACACACCCTGGCTCACGGTAGCCGTTGGCTTCTACGTCGGCACTCCATTTCTCTTCCCCCTTGATCCCAAGTACGTGTACGTGGGACAAAAGTACAATCCTAGCCGTGTCTTCACTCCAAGCGGATCAGTCGGTCTGGGCGGCTCTCTTGTCGCCATCTATCCCGTCGCTGCACCGGGAGGTTACCAGCTTATTGGGCGTACCATCGGCTGCTGGGATGAGACAGGTAACCGGCCCTGTTTCGAGCCTTCCAAGCCCTGGCTGTTCCGTCACTTTGATCTGGTCAGGTTTGTGGAGGTTGGGGAGGAAGAGTACGACAAGCTGAAGCACGACTATGACATCGGGCAGTACGAGTTCACCATCAATAAGACTACGATTAATATGGACCACTTCATCGCCAAGTTCGACGCTGCGAATCGGGATCCAGCTCAATTGGAGTGGACGAAGCGGCAGGCTGAAGCTAGCAAAAAGCTTTCTCGGCGGGAGACGGAGCTCTTTGACGAGTGGCATGCGGCTACGACAGCTTCGACCAACGGGGCTGCGGCGGCTGATGGGGAGCTGGAGGAGCATTCGGGTTCGGGTTCGAACATTCTTCGGATCAAGTCTCCTGTGAGCGCGAGTGTTTGGAAATTGGAGGTTGGAGTAGGTGATGTGTTGAAGAGCGGACAGACAGTGGCTGTGTTGGAGGCGATGAAGATGGAGATCAAGGTTATTTGCGGGAAGGACGAAGATGGAATGGTTGTGAAAAGCATCGTGAGTCCAGCGGGCACGATTGTCAACCCTGGGACTGTAATAATGGCTGGTTTGGCAACTTAATCTTCCTCGGACGATTTCTCAGCCAGACTGGCCAGCGTTCCGCCAAGCTTGAAGCCGGTTTTTGCAAGCTACACCCCCTAGCGCCACTGCTGTTCCCGGGGTTTATGGCACGCTGTTCTGTACAACTCAATTCAAGAACCAGTATTACGTGTTGCATTCTCCTTCTGAACAATGGCTGAGATGATCTGCAGTCTACGCATCCGCGACCTAGTCAAAACACCGTTGATGCTTGGGATTGAAAATTGGCATTGTCACAGATCAGATGGGTAATGCGATGCTACCAGACTTTGCGATATCGGTGCGCCTCGATAAAGATGGACTTGGATAGAACAACTAACTCTAAAGATTTCTCGAGCAAAACCCACAAGCTGTTTAGCCACGTGGTCTCGATTGGCTTGAAGTCTCCGAGTCCGATCTGGATACTCTATACGGAGTCGGTTCTGGTTCGGGGCTTGCAGTTTTAGGTAACTTCGTCAGAAATCACAAACAACAGACCCAGTGTTTTATTAAGCGTCGGTTTCTGATACGCGTGTTGGTTCTTCACTCAGAGATGGCCCCCAACCTGCCTCTTTCAAAACCGTGCCGCGCAGCTGCATGCTCTTATCGGACCAGAAGAGGGGTAACAAGAACGGGCGGGCTCCAACGGGGAAAGAGATAAAATACAGGATTCCACCTGATGCGACCTCGCACTTGTTTCTTCCGATGCTTGACACAACTTCACATTGTAACTTGCAAGTATGAGCGCTCCTGACAACGTGACGCCTGGAGGGGAAGCGGCTGCGCCGGGCCCGGTCCAAGCCCACAATCCTGCCGATCTCGTACCCGAAGAGGCAAGAATTCCTCGACATGACAGACTTCGGTACTTCTTGATAGCTAATGAATATCTCTAGGTTACCGATGACAACGCATCTGAAATTGGAACAGTGAGTGACGGATATACTTTGAAACATGTGGGAGTTTCTTCAAGGGTTAACGCCAAGACGTTAAGAGCGTTGCGTCATCAACAGCAAGCGTGACAAGTTCAGTTCTCAGCTATCGAGAGGAGAATGGACGCAAGTATCACGGATACAAAGACGGCAGTGAGACGATCTGATATTTCAAGCAGGTCGGACTTCGCAGTTGACTAATGTGGGCAGAATATACCGCCCCTAACGATGAGCAAGAACAAGATCGACTGGGTAGGGGACGCTCTTCCTTTGACAAGACCTGCTAGTAGGGGGTCAATGTGGCGGATGGATAATGCTAATACTTGGCAACAGACTTGCAGCATAACCTGTTCCTCTTGACGTTTGACAACGCGCTAGGACTCGCTCCTCCAAACCAGCCGAACTCAAACGTCCAGCGTGTTCTTGACGTTGGAACTGGCACGGGAATCTGGGCAATCGACTTTGGTGAAGATCATGAACAAGCTGAGGTGCTTATTTCGTCACGACAACGCGACATGAAATGCTGATCTCAATCAGGTCCTCGGTATCGATCTTTCCCATTCGATGCCCGAGTTGTAAGTAAAGACTGGTTCACAGAAGATCTCAAATATCAACGAGTTTCTTTCGTTTATTCATCAGAATGATCAAACTCGCTAACAAGACAAAGCGTGCCACCGAACGTCAGGTTTGAGATCGACGACCTGGATGAGGAGTGGACGTACTCGCAGCCGTTCGACTACATTCATACCCGTGGTATGAATTCGTGTATTGCGGATTGGAAGGTCTTTCTCACTAAGGTTTTTGAGTACGTTCTTCTGAGCTCCTGTGCTCTATTTGCTGTACGGAAAAACTGATGATGTTTCCTAGCAATCTGACACCTGGCGGATATTTCGAACTACAGGAACTCGAAGTGTTCCCTCGTTCAGACGACGGTACTCTCACTCCGGAATGCCAACTTTCACAGTGTACGAAATATGTGCACGAAGCATTCGAAATATTTGGACGCTCGTTCCAGGAAATCCCAGACCTTGTCAGAGTCATGGAGGACGTCGGCTTCGTCGACGTCAAGATGAGCTTGTTCAAATGGCCATCGAATACGTGGCCGAAAGACCCTAAGTACAAAGAACTAGGTGATTGGAACAATGAAAACATCAACAATGGTTTTGTGGCAATCACCATGGCGCCGTTTACCAGGGCTCTCGGGTGGACGAAAGAGGAGGTACATGTCTTCCTGCCTGGCGTCCGCAATGATTTGAATGACAAGTCCATCCATGCGTACTGGCCCGTGTAAGTGAAGCCGTTACGTTCGAACTTTCAGGGGTAGCTAATAAGTCGCAAGCTATGTTGTCTACGGAATGAAGCCGGTTGTGGATAATACGGAGACTGCGGAGGCATAAAACTCGAATTTTAGTGTGAGCGTCAGCATTTGGAAATTATTTGGAGATTTCAATGGCTTCATCTGTTACTAAAATACCAAGTGGCATCCCGTTTCCGGCAAAAGCCAACATATCAAGAAACACGATAGGTCCCCTGTTCATGCTCAAGGTGAAATTGTTGTATCGTGTCACGAATTCTGTTGTCTTCGTGTGTTCGCCGGCGCTTGCCTCTCTTAAAGCCCCACGGTTATCTAACCTCGACTACATGAGTGAAAGAGAAGTCAAACGAATTCATACAGCGACGAAATTTCACAATAAAAATACGTTTATTGTAAAGATAGGTAGCTATCCAGCTTGAAAAGGCTACAGTTCTCAGTACCTATTCGCATTGTCGAAGCGTTCCTTCTGGATTAGTTGAAGTTCTTCTTGGCCTATTGCAAGTCATTAGCCTTCATCACTATTGTTTCATGGTGCTGCTAACTCACCTCCTTGAGATTATCCTGGTTGGTCTTCTTTCCCTTCTTGAAGGTCTTGTCGAGCTTATCCAGCGCGGGTCCATCCTTCTTCGGGTTGCCAGTCAGCCCGTTGACGGTCTGCTTCGCACCCTTCTGCGCGTTCTCAACCTTGCCAAGTCCCTTGGTCAGAGCGGGGTCCTTGTTGCCGGCGATCTTCTGGTTCTTCTGACGGTCCTTGGTGGCCTCGTCGAGGGCGCTCTTGATACCCTTCTCGTCCTTCTTCAGGCCCTTGGCATCGTTCTTCTTGACATCATTCTGAGCCTTCTCAGTGGCCTTGATTTCCTTCTTGCCGGCGTTGATGTTGTCGTTGATGCCCTTGACGAGCTTCTTCTTATCAGAGGACTCCTTGGCAGTGGCTGGCTTAGCAGCGGGCTTGGCGGCGGGTGCCTTGGTCGTAGCCTTGTTGTTGGCCGGGCTTGCCATGGGTACGGCGAGGGTGAGGCCAAGGAGGAAGAAGAGGAAAGCGAATGAGAAGCGCATTTTGGCGGTGAGTGAGCTTGTGTGTAGATAACGATAGTGTTAAAAGTAGTCTAAGTGAGAGTGCGTCCGAATCCAGTCGGATAAGAGAATGTATTAGGAGAGAAAGTAGAGAAAGAAACTTGTCAGATGATGATGTGATGGAGATAAGGAATAGTACATATTGTCGAGGTGAACCTATTGTACTTATACTTGACATTTCAGCTGCAACTATACGCAAACTTCACAAATCCGTGCCGGTGAAATGTGCAACTTCACGATGTCGCCGACGGTGCAGATTGAGAAGGTTTCGTAATTGAACTCTGTTTATCTTTTGGGGATGCCATGATGCGAACATGTCGTGTGAAGGACAACACGAGCCAACTCGGGGCACGCGATCAACGGCGTCACGCCATCCAACCCGGCGTAGGTATGGCTAGCCGAGTCATCTTGCTCACAGATCGACTCGTCCCGGATTTCTGGATATTCAGCGGACTTGATGGGGTGGCCCTTGCGGATGATTTCCTCCCATTATCAGATGAGGAAACTTTGCTGAGCAGCATAGCCAAAGAGACTTCAGACGATGGTACACTCGGTTGTTTTAGGATGAAACTGGAGGGCCTTGTTCATTGGTGGTTAAAATGCATATCTGGTTTAAGGCTCAGAACAAGGCGGTTTGCTTCAAGCATGATTCGTGGGGTGAAAATGTTCTCAGTCTGTCAAGTCGGGCTGCCGATGGGTCCCGAAATGCCCGAGAATGTCGGAACGGGTCGCCGCCCACTTGGGCGTCCATAAGAAGAGAGCATGGGGAAACAGGAGAAGCATAAGGATAAACTTAGAATTGGTAGCGCGCGCGCACCCGACTGGATGCGAACCCGACCATGCTATCCCTGCCAGGGTGATCTTCTCATCCAAGACGGACAGATTTGCCTTGGCACGGTGATCTTAGAACTTCAATCTTGGCTTCAAAAGCTTGTCAAGTCTTGGGGGTTCATCTGTCACATCCTGGGCATCTGATCTCTGGTACCGGGCGTCTGGTGCCTCAGACGAGCATCATCTATCCCCTTTTGACGGGCTCTCACAACGTGTAAACTTTAGCCGGATGTATCGTGTAGGGGATATTTTGCCGGTTGGTCCCTTTTACTCACCAACTGTTGCGTGGTCTCTCGCCATCTACGAAACCGTGTGCTGCTCACTCTATCATGGACTCTGTTTGGACGAAGTGTTCAAAATTCACAACCAGCATCAATTCAGATAACAGCCTAATTCATGGTGACAGAAACTTCTAACTCGTTTTCAAATAGTCTGCCATCATCTAATCCATCATCAGCAAGCTTTCTCGTTTCCTGAACTCATTCAACTTGCGATGAACGCGCGTCTTTTGGAAGCTCATCAGAGACAGAACTCAATAAAAGAGGGTGTTTAGATTCTCCCGCCACCATCTTTCGAGTCAAGTGTAAACGGCATCAGTTCCCTCGCAAGAGCCCGCGCGGGCGCCACCTACAATCACCGGACTCTACACGGCATCGGTCTTCACGAATGCGAAGGCCATCATGTTTCCTGCCCATTTTGCCGCTCTTCCGGCACGCGTTGGATACCTCCGAGCGTCTCTCAAGACAGGGAATCTCGGGCATGAAACTGGGTGACCTGTGCTGCTCATGAGACGCAGTGGGAAGCTTGTTTAAAGTTTTCAACGGGCCGGGGTAGGACCAGCGGACTTCGCTTGTGGGGATTTTGTGAGGTTTCCCTTCGTGGATGGGAAGAAGCTCTTCACTTGACGTGGCTTTACTTGGTCGCCTTTGCCGTGGGAGCACACTTCGCCATGCGATGACACGACCCAAGCAACGGCTGTCAGTCATACGACCACTTTAAGTTTCCTTATAAGATCGTCAATACAATGAATGGTCATTGATTCTGTAAATGACATGCCTCGACGGCGAGCAGATCTTCAGATAGTGGAGAGGAAGAAGCAGGCAGGCACGTTGCAAAGTGGTGAAATGAGTCGGGCTTAGGGGAATCACTTGTCTTGGGTTACGCAGTTCGCGCAAACGTAAGCGCTGAAAGGGGAGAGAGAGTACAATACACATAGCCAGTAGGTACAAAAGAAAAAGCCCCAGCTCGCCATCTAACCAGATAAAACCCATGAATGCGAGTCATTGTGCACGCTTCTCACCAATATTACCTGAGTCTTTTGAGAGGAAAAGGTTGATCTGGTAAAGCTATTTTGAATAAAACTAAGTTGAACCAGGCGACGTCCTCTTTGTTGACCTCCACATCAGACTACGAAAGTTCTTGTGAGCCTTTTCTTCTGAAGGCCTAGCATCTTGATCCAATGTATTCACTTGATCTTTTCTTGTAGACAACACATCTGAAGGCCCCTCATTTCCATTCTACAAGCCACCTCGAGTCAAAAAAATAAAAGATTATCCGTATCTCTCTTTCTCTCACTCACTCACACCATCTGTGTTAGTCCGGTAATATGTTGGAAAAGAAAGAAGCTCTGTCACTTGAATACATAGAAATTGAGGTTGAAGACTGTTATTGTCGTTGGCTTGACCTCCAGTACCAGAAATGCAAAAAGGCGTGGGTGATAGGGAGAGAATCGTCGAGTCAATATTTTCACTCATGTGAGCCTCAGAAGGCGTGAAAGCGCAAGAAGGGGATTCAAAATCAGACCACAACGCATGCATGCATGCATGTAGTCGTTCTTGCCGACGTCGTCGCTGTGGCGCCCTCAACCTCTAGAGTGGAGAGTGGAGTCAATCAACTCACAAATAGCACATGTGTATGTACTCTGGAAGTCAAAAGGATAGATAATAGGTACATTTCGAACCGCTGATTAGTTCCTCCTCATGAGTCTTATTTGTAAGAAATCATGAGGTTAAAAAAAAGAGAAAAGCAAAAGAAAATGAGGACGGCCCGACTCGAACGGGCAGCCTTCTGGACTGGAATCAGATGCGCTACCATTGCGCCACGCCCTCGATTGTTGAAGTCATCACGAGCGCAATCGAAATAAGTAGCCGTGGGCTGAGCGGGCTCTCTGTGGTAGCCTGCACGTAGCCGTGGTGGACAATGAAGTTGATCGAGAAGGAGCGGTTCAACTGGTTTATATCCACAAGCCCGGGCCAGCACCTTCCCCACAGAATCCCGCTGGTAGGTCCCACCAAATTGGCTCGGCCGGACAATTGTACTCCCGAACCGCGTCTTCACCTCGGTGAGGCAACGCCATTTCGCGACCTACCAAGCTCGCATTTTCGCAGATGTAACTAATCCTGAACCTCCAACTTCAGCAACCTCCCGTCGAAATCCTCAACCACAAACACCCGACGACGATCACCACCACCAGCGATACCCCCAAATAATCAAGAAAACAAAAAGCAAGAAAGAAGAAGGAAAATGGACTACCAAAACCGCGCCGGCTCCAAATTCGGCGGCGGCGGCGTGGCCTCCCACTCCGCCACAAACGCCGACCGCCGCGAGCGCCTGCGCAAGCTCGCCCTCGAGACAATCGACCTCGACAAGGACCCCTACTTCTTCAAGAACCACGTCGGCTCCTTCGAGTGCCGCCTCTGCCTCACCGTCCACCAGAACGACGGCTCCTACCTCGCCCACACCCAGGGCAAGAAGCACCAGACCAACCTCGCCCGCCGCGCCGCGCGCGAGCAGAAGGAAGGCAAGCAGAACATCGACCCGGCCACCGGTTTACCTGTGGGTGTCGTCGGCGCCGGCTTCGGCGCCCTCGCCCGCAAGAACGTCATCAAGATCGGCCGCCCGGGCTACAAGATCACAAAGGTCCGCGACCCCGTCAGCAGGCAGCAGGGCCTGCTGTTCCAGCTGCAGTACCCCGACATCAGCCCGGACGTCGAGCCCAAGTGGCAGGTCATGAACGCCTTCACGCAGCGCGTCGAGGAGCCCGACAAGAACTTCCAGTACCTGCTGGTCGCGGCCGAGCCGTACGAGACGTGCGCGTTCAAGATCCCCGCGCGCGAGCTCGACAAGCGTGAGGACAAGCAGTTCAGCTTCTGGGACCCCGACGCCAAGGAGTACTGGCTGCAGGTCATGTTCATGTCCGAGAGAGAGGAGAGGTATGTCGCCGCGCCGGGTCTGAGCTCGCGCAGGTGATGGGGACGGGTTGCGGATTGTATGAATGCTTCCGATGGCATCTGGCATCACGCCACGGCTGCCTGTAGGATTATAGCAGGCCTGGTGTTATTCATAATGAGATAGGCCCGACGCTTTTGCCCGGCACATACAGGCGACATCGGGACGTGCACAGGGATTTGGCGTTTGGCGCAGGACATGGAAATGTAAGCTCTTCCGCACGGTGGGATGCGAAAACTGAGCTGACTCAAAAGTTGCACATCACCATACCAGAATAGTTGGCTTTGTCTCAAATGCATTATCTTGACTGCATTCTATCGCCCAACTGCCGACAGTCATCCTCGTTTCTCCTGAATTTCGCTCCTGCATCCATGATATGTAGATCCGGTATCACTAGATCTTTCTCTGTTCTCCACCTCCTTCTCTCCACGTCGTGTCTCTCGTGAGAATGTAAACAACTCTAAACACCTACAGCCCACAGCCTCAAGCCCGAGGCAACAACCCATTCTGCCTCTCCATCTACATGGTGGTTTGTGCGATTTTGTGTCTTGATGCGAGTCAACGCCCTTTATGCAGTGGTTGTTGGAAACAAAAACGGAAAATGCAAGTCTTGGTAACATGAATCTGGTGTATCGGTAGGCAAAAAGCAAGATCGAGTACAGGGTGCGTAGGCCAGCCGGAGCCTCGAGAACGGGTCCCGTGCAAATGCGATTCGAAGAATCATGCCCATGCATGTCACCAATAAGAGGTAGTAGGGCCTCAGCGGAAGTTGTTGTCGAAACGCTTGAAGGTGTAACCGATGAAAGGCAAGCTCATCTCGGGCGACTCCTCGACCACAGGAACGCCGGAACGGGCCTGCTGGATGGCCTGTGCCTTGAGCACGGTTGCGTTGTCGGTCTGGTCAATCTCGTCGGTCGGGAAGTAGGTGGTATCAATGGCGGATGTCAGGCGGGGCTCGAACGGCGCCCTGATGCGGCGCAAGCTGTCGAACTCGACTCCACGGAAGAAAGAGTGCGCCTTGATCTCGTGAGCGCCTCCACGGCCGAGACGGTTCTCGGTGTTGCAGATGAGGCTGGGCATATTAGTGAGTGGATTCCATAAGTAAATAGCAGGCTTGCTCACCTTCGAATCAAGTTCTCAGCCTCCACACCGAGCTGGATGTCGTCGGGGAAGTACAATGTCTGCCTCCAATTGACAATCTTTCGGTACGTGTCGTGGCTGTCTTCGGCGCAGAAAGGAGGCCATCCCACCAAACACTCGAACATGATGGTGCCCAGAGACCACCAATCGCAGTCGAATGTGTAGCCGTGGCCAGTGAAGATCTCGGGCGCGATGTAGTCGGGAGTACCGACGGTGGAGTAGGCCATCAGTCTCCTTGAGCGACGCCAGTCGTTGATCTGGGAGCGGTTGCTGACTGTGAGGTTAATCTGGTCAATAGCAACAGAGTTTCTATCCCTTGGTCTGTTAGACCGGCCCTGAAGCAGCTGTTGGTAGTAGTTATTGTCGTGCAACCGGTTGAAGCCGGTGGACAGACCGAAATCAGTCAGCTTGACGTGGCCGCCGCGGTCGAGCAGAATGTTGTCGGGCTTGATGTCACTGCAACACGTTAGCAGGTGGCCACAGCTCTGGCGTATGCGACCTACCGATGAATGAAGCCCAACTTATGGACAGCCTCAATGGCAAGAACAATCTCTGCAATATAGAACCGCGTGATATCCTCGGAGAAGATCTCGTACTTGATGAGCATCGTCATCAAGTCACCTCCGGGCAAGAACTCCATAAGCATGTACAGGAAGTACGAGTCCTGGAACGTCGTGTAGAGCTTCACGACCCATGGACTGTCGGATTCGGCCAGAATATCACGCTCCGAGCGGACGTGGGCCAGTTGGTCCTTCTTGAACATCTCCGTCTTGATCAGGGACTTCATGGCGTAGACCTTGCCGTCGCCCTTCTTCTGAACCAGCTTAACCTCCCCGAAGGCACCCTTTCCGATGATCTTGACGGTGTTGTAGTTTTCGGGCTTATCCTTTGTTCGCAGGAATCGCAGGTATTGTCCCTCCTTGCGGCCGGCGGTGGACCAAATCTGCTCGCGTCTCGATTGACTCTGGTTGGGCTCGGAAAGCTTGGCCTCCATCTCGCTTTGTCTGTACACGAAGCGGTCAGCAAGCTGCAGCAGCTGGCATGCGAAACGCCTCCTTACCTCTGGTTTCTCTCACGGGCACGCTTCACACTATCCTTGAAGAAGTCCGACGCCAACTGGGTGCACTTCTTCTGGTTGCTGTTGGCGTTGACGCCATATTTCTCGTAGTTGCGCTCGGGAGCTGGGGCGAAGATCTCGGCAGAAGAGCTCTGCTGGTTCGGGAGAGGAGGAGTCGCATAGTGTCCGTAGCCAGAGGGGGCCTGGCCGGGAGCACCAGCGGTGCGAGGTCGCTGGCCGGGAGAGGGGCCGCGGGAACCATAGGGGGATGCGCGAGCAGCGCCGCCGAGGTTCTGGTGGGAGAATTGGTGAGCGAGGCCGACATTGGGGTCGTTGCCGCCAGGAGTGTTGGATCGCGGCTGGTAACCGGCGTTGTAGTCGCCGTGGCCCTGGGGAGGGTACTGGCCCTGCTGCTGGTTGTTCATGAAGTAGCCTTGGGGAGCAAAGCCGGCCTGGTAGGGCTGCTGCTGCTGCTGCTGCTGCTGTGGGTGCTGCATGCCTCGCTGTTGCTGCTGCTGCTGGGCCTGGCCTGGGAAGACGGGCTGAGGAAAGGTCGAGGGAGTCGTAGGATACTGGCGGTCGCCACCGGGAGCCAGACGATCGTTGTTGTTCCCAATGTTGAGATAGAGGCGGTTATTATTGCTATCCATAGTTGTCGGTTTCGTCTTGACTCGGGGGGGCTACGCGGTGTGCGGGTAGGGGTTGGTTGGCTGGTAAGCAGACAGCGTGGGCGTGGGCGTGGGCAGGCTGTGCTGTGCGGTGACTAGCAAAGTGGCAGTTTAATTGACGGTGCTATGGGGGCCGGCGAACGGGGTCGTCGAGCTGAGGAGGAGGTCTGCAGACTGCGGTGGCAGCGGTGCGGTGCGATGCGGTTGCGGTACGATGCGGTGGCCAGTTGGGTTGGTCGCAGCGACTAAACGGCGGGGAAGACAGCCAAGTTGGACTAGAGGTTGCAGCCGCGGGACGCCCAGGGTCAAGGCGGGAGGTTGGCAGTATTGGGCTGATTGGTCCGAGGCGGCTGTCGACAAGATAGATTGCGGTGGGTGGGTGGATGGGAGGAACCCGCCAGTGCTAATTAAGAGAGAGAGTGAGCCCTAGTCAATGGGTTGGGTTGGGTCATGGACGGCGACCGGTGATATCGACAGGCGGAGGGTTGGGTTGGTTTGGGTGTATGTGTGGGAGAGAAGAGGAGGAATATGGATGTACCTTGTGAGGGTTTTGGAGTGAATTGGATGGTTGGAGGGGGCAGAAAGACGGGCGGCGGCTGGACGTCGTCTCCTCTGTCTCCTTACTAAAACGTAGCGAAAGGGGGTGGAGGGGGAACTTTTTGGCGATGCGGCACGAAGTGGCGGAAGGGGAGGGGAAACGGGGGGGGGGGGGGGAAGGGGCAGCGGAGGAGAGGCACCAGGCTCTAAGGGGTGATCTTTTTTTTTTTTTTTTTTTTTTCGGTCTGGTCTGGTCTTCCCCTTATCCTTGGGACCTGGACCCCTCTTCGTAGGCTTAAGGAATGCGACGACGGGAGAGCAGCTAGGTTACCTTGGGTCGCTTCTTAGCTGGGTGTGCGGTCCCAAGGGATTCGAGGCGACAGGACGAGGCACCCTGAAGCAAAGGGAGGAGACAATGACAAACAGAGATGAAGTCGGCAGGTCTACTTTCGTACGATGCATATGCAGCTAGGTAGTCGAGACTCGAGAAGGGAAGGGGGGAAGTTGAAGTCACGAGACCCGGAGCCGGGACAGGACAGCGTGCACGCAGTACTTGGGTATTTCTGTAGAAGGAGGCGCTTGCAGTGCACTGAAGATTACTTTTCAGCCGCTCACAACAGCCAGCAATTGGGTTCCGGTTCCCAGCCAGTGTCGCGGCAGAGTCCAGACGGGACGTGACACTTTTCAGGGACTCGCCGCCTCAGGACCTTCCGACAGTCGGTCACAGGCGCAGGTAACACAAAGCAAAAGTCAAGCAAACACCAAGCAGCGGCAGCGGCATGGAACGGCAGTGGCAGCGTCGCGGGGCCCGTCGCGGGGGCCTTGGACGTGAAGTCGGGCCTTGCTGGACCCCAGCTACCCCTGAGTTTGGAGCCATGCCGGCTCGTCACTGGCTGATGGGCCGACATGTGGGGTACAGCTGCCATGCCATGCCATGTTGTGAGGTACTTACCTAATGTATGCTAGGTACATGTATGCGCATGTACCTTTGAATTCCTCCGCTGCACCTCCTGCTCCTGCACTCTTCAAGGCCCAGTGAAGAATATTACCGAGACGGGGCTTCATCTATTCTGATATCCGCCTTTTGCATCTTTTGCCCGCCCATGAAACACACTTTGGCAAACACCCTGTTCTTCATTCCGCTACCTACGATGCTCCCAATCTTGCATCCAGATTCCAGTGTCAGTCTCCCCTCGCACCGACAGCCGTTCTTGGCCCACACGTGCGGGGCGGGGGCTTGTGAAGTGCGAGTTTCCAATTCCCCTTTCATCAGGCTTTCACAGCAATGAAGGCCGCTTCCAATCGCTTAACTTAACCCCGACCTCTTCTCTTCTGTGGCGGCGGCGGCCCCCGTTCACCGACTCTTCAGCAGCCAGCCAGCCAACCAGCCAACCGTGTCTCCGGGAATATGTGTAAGCCAACACCGACCTCGTCTTCCCACCTTACGGACCTCGTTGATCGTTGACTTTTGCTCGTCAGAGTCAAATTCAACTGCCATGGTTACGTCGCGACCTACTCACACGCCCCGCCTAAGTTAAGGTGCCTTACTTTTGGCTACCTTAACTTAAGCCACCTTAACTTGACAGACAGGCCCCCTCACCGGAACCGTCCATCCGAAG